TAAGCATAGAAACTTTCCGCATGGAAAAAAAAAGAAGAAGATTTCATGCAATAATATAATCCCACATCGTCAGCCAAAGTCTCTAAGTTAACTAATAGTAAAAATCTTAATCCCTCCAATTATTTTCAATGAATTTTGAGTTGAAACCTCAGGTTCTTTAACACCGCTAGCTCTAACCATTACTATAACATTGTAGTTGGGGTTTTAGTCTTGTGCCTTTATTTTTATTTGGTTGGCATAAAGTGCACAAGTTCGTCAGTCGAGTAGTTTGTGAATTGGAAGGTCTAAATTAATTAGGATGCCGACAATTCAGTTTAGATGATCTAAGAGGATTATGAGTTATGACACCTACCCACCACCAAAGCACCACCAAAGCCCAATCATGGGATGCAGCTGTTAATCTTGTCTTCAGTCGATGATTTAACATCATCAAACGACTATTTCAATAGCCTAGGACAGTCCGAGCAAAAATCCTAGCAAGGGGGTCTTCACTTCTGCTGATGTTGTCTCTAGTGGAAGATTTAACATCATCAAACATCTAGTATTTTGATAGCCAAGTACAATCCGAGCAAAAAATCTTTGCTAGGGGGTCTTCACTTCCTTTGAATTCTGTCTGTCATGCGTAAAGGGAACAATTCAGTGTAAACCATCGTTCCTATCTTTTAGAGCAAGGAATGTACGGGAAAGCAAAGGAAAGTTGAGATAAGGGAAACCATTTCTAAGATTAAAAGCTGGTGCATTTTCTCAAAGTCATCCATCTGTTTGGTTGAAAACGAAACAGTCGCAGGTGCCAACAAAAGACTCAACCGAACCTCAAAAGAGTTTTAACCTTCGCTATTTGAAAGCAACCTTCCTCTGCCTCTTTTCACAGACGTTTTATCTTCAACAGTTTGGACATAATATTATCCCACCTGCCTAGTTAGGTATATTCTTGAACAACATTTGTTCTAATTGACAGAGTCAAGCCCCCAAAAGTTGGCCCATATCAAAACATAGCTGATTGAGCTGAGTATTACGTGCATTCAATCACACTATTGATGAAGGGTTAACAACTCATATTTTGCACCCCCCCCTCCTTCACACTATTACTAGAGTCACATTTACTTTGATTTATGTATTGAAGCCCCACCACATCAACATGTCATTAGGCAAACAAAAGGAAGTCCATGTGAAAGACACCTAACTTGCATATACTGAAGGTCAAATTGTATGTAGTCTGTCACGCATCTAAATGATTAACAACTCCTTTTATTGATAAAAAGAAGTTGCGACATGCTTAAACTTCCCTTTGTTTTTTTTTTTAAACCAAAAAAAAAAAAAACTGTCCAGTAACTTTTTTAAGGGATTAATTTTTGTGATGGTTATCTCCGTCTTAGAGTTTATAAACAGCACTTTAAGATTTCATGCAACTATAATGGAACATGCATGATGATTAACCTAACAGTAGTATTATTGCCTCCATTTCTTGAAGGGATCCCGGCTCCACAGGTCTTGTCACCTTAAATGACAACAAAGGCAAGAAGATCGTGCAAGAACATACAAGTCAAATTGGAGGTGGTAACCGTGGCTACCCCCGTTTCGCCAGACAGAAAATATAAAATTGTAGGAAACAGCATAATATTCGCAATGCATGCAAGTCAGGCAGCATTATCATCATTGAATACTTGATGTTGAATACTTACATAATAGGCAAGGGCAAGGGCAAGAGTAGTTCTGCTGCGCCAAAACTATTTTCTGTGGCTTGTCAACATCTCAAGTCTAATGATGCAGAAAATGATAGTGATAATACATTCCCAATACAGTGATTTAGATTATAAATCATGTGCAGGTCCCTCTTTGGCTCGTACCGTGACTCAGAAAAAAAATATCAAGTCAAAATGATATGTTCGCCGCACTGACAAGAAAACTTTTAGGCATTGGTCCACTTTTTAAGATTCTAATTTATTGTGTTACACCAACATGACAACGTCAATCCAGCTTGATCACTAGAACAACACCTACTCAAATTTTAGATCGATGAGGAATGGCCAGAAACAATAAAGCGTCTGAATCCCACATAACACGAGATGAGAAAAAGCATGGATGATTATAGCATCAGACACAGAATTATGATGGTCTCGTATCTTCTGTGGTCCAAAGGGAAACATGTTTAGTCATTCCATGGATTATGACGTCAATAAATGCAAGCAATACAAATCATCACCAGAGAACCAAAAATCATGAATGGCGAAGCCAGTTTCAAACAGGAGATGCAGAGAACCAAGCGAACATCTCGCATACTCAACCAATGAAAAGGGTACGATGCCCAAATTTAGAATTTTTGGATGCACAATTATTGTTCTTTTTTTTTTTTTTTCCAGCAACGATAACAATTTGTATAATCTATTCTAACCTAATCTAAGAAGAAAGAGAGGGAAAAGCCACAAATAGTGATTGATGAGAGGCAAGGATCAAACCCTTGACCTCCCACCTCCACCGAGACTTGACTTAAAGATGTCTTGGTGGCACAATTATTGTTCTTTTTCCACTTGACAATTTTCTTTATTTTCTCTCTTTGTAACTCGTTGTTTGTAACGTTCATTTCTAATGGGACCATATGTTGATCCTCTGATTAATTGAGTTAAATGGCGCGCGTATGGGCACACGCACATGCAAGAGTGTGCTTAAATGTTTTTCTTTAGTGTTGCAGCACAAAAAAAATAAAAGTTCTGAAAAGTGCCCACCAATCTCCAGGTATCAGTAGAAGAACTGATTGTGCCTTTAATGTAAATATATTCAGCAAAATGATAATGCAAGTAGACGGCCAGATGTCAAAATCTTTTAGTTTTTCAAGGAATAAGTTACAGGCATCGGGTGCACATCATTGAGATAATTGTTCTGGTTCGCAGACCGATTTGGATTGTTTGTTGAATGTTGACGAGAGATTGGAGAACACCCTGGAACTAATCTTGTTAGCATAAACTCCAATCCCCTTTTTCTGACATTTAAAGGGGCCTCTCCGTCACTTTGCTCCACGCAAATTCTGCATAACATTTCAGCAGACAGGCAATTAAGGACCAAGAACAGGTGGAGGGTCGAAAGTAGTTAGATACTTCAAGCTGTACAGACAAATTTTGCCTAATGTGGTCGAACGCACTAGCAAGAATAAGCAGCAGTGAACAATTAACACTGGTTTTTCTTTCAAGATCTTTACAAGTAAACAAAACGAACTTCGCTGAAGGTGGAAGATACCATTGACATGCAAACTTACAGTAAGACCATTTTGAATATAGGCTAAACGGATCTCACGTAACAGTAGCGAGTTAAAACCTTCAAGAAAAACTTTGCAAATACGCATAATCCATTAACCTGGGATAATTCGTGATCTGTCACATCAAAGGCTTCTACAATTCAGGCAAATGCAGCGTCCAAAGCCACAAGAATATATATATGGGCCAAATTAGGTTAGCCTGAACTCCCCATCAATTTTTCTTTCAAACTGCCATTGCTCCTTTGACATGTCAAGGGTTCTAGCCTTTTAACGAGGCAGTGGGATCAACCCTAATATGTATATGCTAATGTAATACAGGACTTTTGTGCCACACAAAATGCATATTTACACCAGCGAGAGCTTCTAGAGAAACTATTCCATGAACATCTAAATAACAAATTCATTACAGTCAACCATATTGTATCGCTCAGTTATTTTGCCAACCAATCCACCCTACCTAAGTTTTAGTACGTTTAGCATCTCCTTCCGGCACTTTAAGCAACTATTACTCCATGAATTCGATTTGCATCTAAAGGCAATTGTGGATGACATCTCCGTTCCACAGCACATATCTATGTTCATAGCGTCATTAAGCAAATGATTGTCTACTTTCTCGCATCAGCAGGATGCTTTCCCGGCCAACTAGATTATTTCAGTATCCAGCAACCAATTCAAATGAATGTACACCAAAAGGTTTCCAATGAATTGGCCATTCAATGTTTACCTCTTCCCAGGAACCAATTCAAATGAACGTACACTGAAAAATTTTTCTAACGAATTGGCCATTCAGTCTTTACCTCTTCCCAGTGAATCAAGACCAAAATGGAGGGAGAGAAAAAAGATGGGGAAAAAGGAGGAGGTTAGAGAAGACATCAAGCAGAATTAACGGCATTGCTTGAATGTCTTCATACCAACTTCAATCTCTGAAGTTGGTGTGAAAAGGAAAATTCCCCAGGACAAAGAGAAGAAAAATCACTAATCATCTTCTTCAGTTATAAAAGTTCCATTTGGCCCCACAGCCACCACATAACTACCACATTAACATATACTACGTCTATTGTACAGGAAAACCAAGAATTCTTACCAGGCTTATGTAATCCAATATTCCTGGACCTATAAAATTTACGGAGAGTATCAATCCATACTTACCTTCGTAACACTGGAGCACCAACCAGAAAGAAATAAAACTTTGACAACAAGATCCAATTTTGTTAAGCTACTAGCACTACATGCATACAATTAGCAGAACAGCAAGCACATTTTTCCAGTAAATAACACTCAGAAAAGAACCACCACATTTCTGCATTAAGCTGTAGAACATGTAATAACAAATCCAAATGCCCAGACTATAGGAACTAACTACACAGAACATTTTATTTTCCTCACAAGATGAACTCAGAGGAGCAAAGTCAATGGCATGACAAATACTATGAAATCCAACTCCCAGCTAAATAAGTTTGGGGTTGGCATTGGCCCTCGGTGAAACAAAATGAAAACCCCACTGACAGCAACCTATTCAATTAGTTTGCCAACAATCATGTATTGTATATATCCATTGACACAATTTAACTTTGCAATTGGGCATAATTCTACAAGATCCTCAAAACGGTCATCTCGACCACTAATGAAAAAGCTTGGTAGCTCATAGAAACAAGGTACAAAGAACCTTCACTTCTCAAAAGCACAAATTAGTCCCATGAAAAGTACAAGAACACAGACAAATAATCTAATAAGTATACTTGAATGATGAGAAGAGGAGACCAACCTTGGGAGTAACTGCTATATGCTCATGAAGCCAGGTATTATATACACAATAAGAAAAATGAATGCGAAAGATACAAGTTCACAAGTTGTGAACAGACTAACCATGATTTCCAAGTTCACAAAACCTGTATGATGTGGTGCTTGATTACACATTACCCAACATGAATGAATACACAAATATACATCCATGGAAGCATACAGTTTCTTGCTGAGTCACAAGTCACAATGCCAAAAATGGAATTTCACCAAAAATATAGAACATGCACAGTGGACAAATTACAATTCTCTTAAAGAAAAGGCTCCTCCCAGCTTTCTCATGGCTTTCAACAGCTAGATTTGAGGGATAATGCATGTGGATTTCCCAGCAGAGATATACAGATATCAAAAGAGTGGATACACAGAAAAGGCAATACGTGAGTGAGTGAGTGTGTGTGTGGGGAGAGAGAGAGAGAGAGAGAGAGAGAGAGAGAGAGAGAGATTTCACTAATAACCTTTCTGTCTCCGAACTTGGTTTTTGCAATACAAAAGAGGACTTGGATGATTTACTCCTTTTCCTGATCCCTGGATGGGATAATTTGCCCGTTAATGCATAGGATAGAGAAAGAAGAATACTACAGAGGAAATGTCAACCAGGTGTCTCACCTAGATATACAAGGAAAAAAAGTACCGAATGTCTAACCATGCAAAACTTACTTTGTCTGATCTGTTAGAGTAACAAGAGACCTAAGAACACCCGGACTGATCTTGTCAGCAAGAACTCCTTTTTCAGAAATCCAGAAGGACTTCTCCTTGATGTAACTTTGAAGTTTTTTAGCTTCAAAATCTAACCCAGCTTGATCTACATTTCATTAATACAAGATATCAGCATTCCACATGAAATTTCCATTTCTCTTTTCTTCCTGGGGATACCAGTAATCACAACATCTGGGAGAAATTTAAGGCATATGAAGGATGGTTGTAATAAAAAGCAACAGTAATGTGGAAGCCTTGTTTTTCTACAGCTTCAAGCAAAAAGACAAAGTATCTAGTCAATAGAGTATAACAAACTTATAGCGAGTTCCCACTTTTCAACAATCCCATTTCAAGCCATTGCACATGATAATTACATATGATATGACCATATTAAGCAGCTTATGATTATGTTTTGCCCTTAGCTTATGCAAGAATAACTCCACTGCAATATTGTTCAGCATCTAAAAAAGATTCACCTGGAATTCTTATGACACAAAAAACCATGCAAATACCTTTTTGTTAAAAAAAATAAAAATAAACATAAACATGCAAATATGCTATTGCTCTATTACGTACCTGAAGCAATAAACACATGCAAGCGGATCCCACCTTTATATTCACATAGCCTCGGATATATTATTACAAATTAAACAAAGAGATGGCAGTAGCTTACCCTTTCACTTTACAGTAAATTATTCTTAAATGGTGCAATAAACTAAGAAATATTCTCACGAGAAATCAAATGATTGACATTCTGTTTTGCTGATATAAGGACATCACGTGCACAAAATTTATGTGAGCAGACAGAATATCTGAATTCTAATAAAATAAACAGAGTGCAATTTTATGAAGACACTAAACAAAATGAAAAAGTAACACACCTTTATCCAAAATGGCATGAGCAGCATGAAATGGTATACCAGCAAAAACGTCAGTTCCTGGAAACATCAACCATGTATTCTCTTTGCCATCATGGTTACCACATGTTCCACAAATTTCTTTCACCAATGGCCTTGATTCAATCTCCCTCATTATTGACTCAAAAGGAGAAGGGATACTTGTTTTGGTTGTCCTAGCCCTTTTCCTTAGTGCTGTCAATGCTTCCCTGTTGCCATTCCTCAATCTATCGTTTTCAACTAACTGCAATTACATTTTTACAAACCAGAGACGGTTGAAAATAGGAAATTATCCATTCTTCTCAAGGCTTAGATAGTTCTCACTTACTTGGTGTCGCGCTAACAAAAAATTTTCAGCTTCAATCTCAACCTCCATCAGACCATCCTGAAATTGCTTCATGGTTTCATCCATTTCTGTAAACAAAGTCTGACAAATCAAGAAAAACCATCTCACAATCCTGGGCAATTAGCTGTCACAGAAACAACTGTCAGAGTCAAACTCTTCGCAAATACAAGAACGGGTTCTAGGATTTGGTTGACATTTTTTGACATGAAAACTAGTACTTAACAGTGTTAATACTCTTTGTCAACCAGGAAACTGAAATGAATAGCAGTTTTAAGTGTCTTTGTCTGTGTCCGCTTTACCTGCTTTCACTTACAAATTTCCACTCTTATCTTTGTAAATTTCCATTCTTGTTTCTTGTCCCAACAAGCCGAATAAAAATTATTCATGAAACAAAGAATTATTTTTACTTAATCTTAAAAACAATTTCATCTCAATCGCCTCAAATGTAATCATGCTTATAGGTCTCAACAGGTCATGCTTTACAAAGCTGTCTCAGCCATCCACATTGTGATCTCCTTCCCCACCCCCACCCCCACCTTCACCACCACACCCCCTCCCCCCCACCCCCCCCAAAGAAAAAGGAACACCAACCGATACATGTCTTTCCAAACCAAAAGAAATGAATCCGGGAGCTTAGTCGTGAGGAAAGAAGGTCAAGGCGTTCGCTGACATGATCACCTCCATACCCCATGTAAAACCAGCTACGCGCTCAGTTTGCATTCTTACAACATTAAGCAAAAATGAATTTGCTCAGGACAAACAAACGAGTAACCGGCGTCAGATTGACAAAAGGAAAATTTAACACTTAAGCATGCATAACAGTTGGCGTTTATTTTTCCTTTCCCGGGTTTGACTCGAACAGTTAGTAAGCAAACCTCCCAGTCGCAACCTCCATACGAAATTGAAATTGAACAGAGAAGAACCGAAAAAATTCTCCAAAAACAACGACAAATCCAGCTATTTTCATCTCATGTACACAACGTTAAACATACATATAAGAAACGGACAGAATAGTTTCCCAAGAGATCCTAGGTAATAAGCACCACAAAAATTCTAAATACTCATAAATTTCAGATAAAATAAACAAAAATTAGAGAGCTATGAAGAAGGATATTACAGTTCTATATGAAAATCTTCAGACGTGATTACGCTTGTGGCGAGCAGAAATCGTGAAGTTTCCTCCCTACGTCCTCCTCTTTCCCTTTTTTTTTTTTTGGCCTTTTATTTTGCGCCGGTGATGGGTAAAACAGAGGCGATGTCGGGGATGTCAGAGGAGGCGAGTGACGAGGATAAGAGACAAGGACGACAGGTTTTTTGGGTTGGACCGCTCAGGCCTTTGTCTGTCCTCGCTAGAATTTGAACCTAAGAGCCCAAATCAAGTGGGCTGATTTATTTCTTTTGAATGTGAGAAAACCCAATGAACTACCTACCCACCCACTTAAGCAAATGAGCTCGTTGTTAATAATGAATACAATTTCATCTTTTTTTTTTCTCCCCTTTCTTTTTCTTGTTTTCAACATATACATATATATATATATATTTTAACTAGTTTTCTTTATCAAACTTGTGGGTTTTTAGTTCCAGACAACCCATACAGTACGAAAATATGACGACAATGAAATGGAAAGAATGCAAATATATAATTGGACATGGCAAACATTTATCCAAATAGATTGGAAAGGTATCTCATTTCCAACACTTGATGATGGTTTATGAATTTAGGACAGCTTAAATTTTAGTATTCAATTGAGACACGAATATGCCAATTCTTTTTCCTCGATCAATTCTTTTGCACTTGCTTCCATCTTTGCCTTCGAAAATGCATCAATCTCCAAACCTGCACCGCATGCAGACCATTATTAGTAGTATTATTATTGTGTAGCTATCTAACTTTTAACTTCGTAGAGAACGATTGGATGTATAAAACCAAAGGTATAACTCGCACTGCACAAGCATAAAAACAAATGTAGCATCATTGTATCACACTAACCTTGCACGATTGACCATTCTCCTTTCTTAGAGGTTACGGGAAAAGAGTATATTAGGCCAGGTGGGATGCCATAAGATCCATCCGAGCAAACTCCCATGGATACCCAAGTCCCCTGAAGGAAAGCCATGAGAGGGAATTAAGATTCTTGCACAATGAAAGAGGGAAACCCTTCAAGTGAATTCAACCTTTGGAGTTCCAAGAACCCAGTCATGGATCTGATCACAAGCAGCGCTTGCGGCAGATAGCGCACTGGACAGCTTTCTGGCTTTAATGATTTCTGCTCCACGCTGCTGCACTGTCGTGATGAACTCCGTATTCAGCCTGACACATTCAACCGGTATAGAAAACTTAATACAAGAGAAAAACGATAGCAAATTATTTATGAAATGCAGCAAGATTGATTATTTCTCCTTGGAGGAAATGCAGAGAAAGCTTGCCATTGATCATCAGACACAACTTCTCTCACAGGCTTCCACCCCTTGCCAGTGTTTACAGTCGCGTGATTGGCGTCTGGATACTGAGTTGAGGAATGATTCCCCCAAATGATCACGTTCTTTACATCCCCAACATGGACTTTTAGCCTCTCTGAAATCTGACCTAGAGCCCTGTTGTGATCAAGTCTTGTGAGGCAGCTGATGTTTTTCTCCGGGATCGAAGGTGATGCAAAATGTTTCAAAATCAGTGCATTGGTGTTGGCTGGATTTGCAACCACCAGCACCTGTATGGTACGAGCATGGACTGATAAACATCAATTCTGCAGCAAACATACATTTTAATCTACAGGTAGTAAATACAAGAAACAATCAATATACAGCTAGTCCTTTGATATAAGGGCAGCAGAACCTCAAGTTTGCTGTTGTGTTCAGGTGTTTATCTATCAAATACTTATAAGCATCCACGTTCCAGGCTAAAAATCTTTAGGAAACAAAAGAAGAATCAATCAGATTTGCTCCAGTTGCAAAACCTGCCTTGCAGCCTGGGGCAGCGAACCGCTTTAAAGCCGAAGCCTGTCCTTTATAAATCGATACGTTTCTGGACATTACATCCTTCCTCTCCATTCCTTCCTTTCGTGGGAATCCACCAACCATGATTGCTATTTTAACACCTTTGCAAGCTTCAGCAGCCTTTGTAGTAGAAACAATCCCTGTTGACCGAAAAATTTATGCTACTAAAGCATCGCTACTAGGGACAAGTTAATACAACTACATTTAACTTAGCTCACTAGTTATTAGGTTTTGACCTTTAACAAGAGGAAAGGCTGCATCAGTCAATTCCATGGTTACAGCCTTCAAGGACAGAACTGCTGGTTCAATATCAAGCAAGTGTATGATTACCGGCTGATCAGGACCTAGCATGGCCCCTCTAGCAATCAATGGAACCAGAGCATAACCTATTTGGCCTGCAGAAACAAAAGTCTAAACAAAGTCATTTAGGCATTTTCTTTCCCAACAATGAAGTAGATATCTCGGTTCTCATTCTGATAACTGAATTAAATAACCAGCAATCTAACAAGATACAAATAGATAATCATCACATATCAGAGTGGAAGAGAAATTGAAGTAACATGCCTGCAGCACCAGATACCAAAACTTTTATAGGTTCCTTTTTTATTTTCGCGAGGCCCCATATGTATCTAATGATCTTCCATGACAAGTATGCACAACCCAAAAGAAATAGAGACTTCTCTATTGCTGCCAAATACTCCATATCACACGGACCACGAAAGGAACGATGATGATTATTCTGCTCAGTTTACAGCACAATACAGGACACTGGTCATTTATGTAGATAAGAACCCCAAAACAGAACTAGACGGACAAGTTACTTGATTCCAGGGAAATTCTGGAATTGACAAATCCTTAGGCCAGCAAGTGAAGTGAGGTATAACGAAGACAAAACCAATAAGTTATGCTGCAATGCTGAAGAATATCTTCTTTCCAACGAAAAGAACAATCAAATAACTTGTTACAGATAAGTTAACTAAGATAAGAAACAGGGTTGATCTAAAACACGAGAATCAAGATGTGGTAACAAGTTTTCTTTAACGTAAAGCCGTAAAGGGTGATAACATGATGAAAAAACCGCAGCCATCATTATTGTTGTTAGGGGAAAAGGCTAAAGAAAGAAAAGAATACGTGGTTTATCATTCATCATGGGCACAGGGCTAGACTACGTATTGAGCAAGGCGATTGAGGGATGGTTTCCAGCTACCTATTTTCATGCAATCATCAAGTTTTATGGCAAAAATATTTTCAGTTTGATACAGTACATTGAGAACCGGGGAAGTGGTAGGGATACACATAATTAGATTCAATAATTGTTTGAAACATATAGTATGGGATCAAGGATACAGCAAAATTTCCAGTGAAAATGGTTTGTACTACATATTAATAAATATGCATAACGTGTATAAAAGAACCACCACATTTGTCATTTTTAGTTATCAAACTTGGCCAACATGCTTAATTTTGCAACTAGTGTAGAATATAATTTCCTCAGTTTTCCTATAAATTTTAACAAGCTCTTCAAATATTCTAATTTTTACCTTTAAACATCTAAACCTATCAGTGTTTTGACAAGAAAAAAAAAATACATTGAGTACCATGAAAGTGGCTAAAAAGACATTTAATAAAATGGTTAGATGATGTTGAAATATAAGAAATAAATGTTTTAGACTGATTCTTCCAAAACAAAGGAAAAACAATCATTACTTGACAAATTGTCAAAAATCCAAAAGGTAAAATTAAGTTATGAAATATCAAACTGCGCATTTGCCCAAAACATAAATTAGCTACTTGAGATATTGATCAGGTGCTTAATTCCTTAATTTGACCATCAAATTCTCCCATCTTCCCTTCCCTCGTTATAAGGTTTGTGACTCCAAACGTTTGGGTCTGTTTAGATTGCCTAGTTTTTCTTCTACAAAATTTTTTAACGATTTTAGTTACGGTTAAGGTTGTATTATGCGGAAATTAACCACGCTAAAAATTGTAGTAAATGCTACTATACTTGATGTTTAGCCCCAGAACTTGCGCAGCAGTAAGAACTTGCCACAGAAATTCTCTAAATCACAGAAAAGCCCCGAATTACTTGAAGGATGAATCTTTTCGGTTACTGACCGACACCGAGCCTGAGCTCAGACTTCCTCTACAGCAACCCGAGAAAGGGCGGAAAGAATAGCATCAAGAATCCAATCCCTAGGATACATTTATCAGATTGGAGCTGTACATAGAGATGCAACGAGTGAAATCTGCCTCATCTGTTTTAAGCCGTTATACAGCAAATAATAATGGTGGCTTTATCTCCAGGCTAAAACGATGCCTTTCTTCTCTGTCCAACAGTCCCCTCACCGATGATCAGGAAAACTTTGTAAGTTTTCACTCTTCTAATCTTTTTGGCTGTATTTGTTTTACATAATCAACACTTTGACGAAGACTTCTCGACGACTTTGTGTTTTCAGGTGTTGGTGGAGGGAAATGGCGCTTCCAGAACTGCAATTCTCAATAGACCCTCTGTGCTTAATGCCCTTAACACTTCAATTGTGCGTGTCCCATTTATCAAGATTCCTCCTTTTTCTTGTTTTTATTGATAAATTTAGTCATGTGGGCTGTAGTTTTCTCCAAGTTCTTCTGGACCATTTTTTGTTGTTAGTAATTGCTTGATGTTGTTATGGAATTTAAGGGGGCTAGGTTACAAAAGCTGTACTCAAGTTGGGAGGATGATCCTGATATCGGGATTGTGCAATTGAAGGTATCTCTTTTCCTTGCTAACTATTGTGAGTGTTTGCTTCTTATCAATTCTGCGTTTTCTGCACTTTATGCGAAGTAAGCCAATCATAGTTTTGGAACTGTTGAAGGGCAGAGGCAGGGCATTTTGTGCTGGTGGTGATATTGTAGCTCTTTATAATGTGATACGCCAAGGTACGAAACCATATATTTTTACTTGCTTCAAGTGTTTATGACATTAATTGAACTAATCCAGAAAGAAGAAAAAGAAATTTATTCAGGGATTGGGAGTGTTGTGCTGACACCAAATTTAAGAAATTCAACCATGTTTTTTTTTTCTCAACATTGCCATTTGTATCGAACGACCAAATGAAGTTAATAGTGTTTCAAGCTCTAGTGACTTGATTCTGTAGTTAACAACCTAACATGATCAATTGCTCGGGCATCAACACTTCTGAATTTAAATTCTTAGAAACTTTCTAGTGTTCTTTTTCTTATGTATCAATCTCACTTGAAGATATTAGTGGACTGACTCCAGCCTTACTCCAACTAATTTGAACTGTTGTACATGGCAAGTTTTAACCTTCTTCTGGTTTCTTGGTGGATATATATATATATATATATATATATATATATTGATGAAAGATCATAGACCTGAAAAGCAAAATGTTGTTAATATTAATATTGTTAATTCTCATATTACTGCCTTTTGGAAAAAACGAAATAATTGTGAAAAGAAGCCTTTATTCTATTTACAAAAGGTCATGGATTGTTGAATAAGTTGAGAGTAATTAAATTCAAGATTCAGGATGACTTAGGAATGAGATTATGAGGCTTTTAATGGGAATTTGACGGAACTTTGCTTCTAAAATTTAACTTTTTCAACACTTCTGCACTATTTATGCTTTAGTTGTTTCTCTGTCATTCACAAAAGTGATGCAGCATGTGAATTTTTGTCCTGCTGTTGAGTGCCAGCTCTTTTGCTTATTTTCTTGACAATAACCTCTTTACTTCAGTTTTGTTCTTTGCCGTCTTTGGATTAATGATTAATCAAGTTCTTGTTCAATTTATTCAGGGAATATTGAACAGGGTAAAGAATTCTTTTGGACAACATACAATTTCATTTATATGCTCGGTACATACTTGAAACCACATGTAAGTATCATTTTCTTCTAATTTCTAGGTCAAGCACAAATATAGTAGTCGTCATGTTGAACATGCTCTTTAGGGCTACATACGGCTTTCAAATATGATACTGTTGTATGATTCAATTTCCTTCTTGTGTCCAAAGTCCCAAAAAGGGCTTGTACTGAAAATAGTCAAAATTAGAGAAGTATCTTTATCTTCAATAGCTCCTTTCTTGATTAATAGAGAGAATGGAAGATAGAGGAAATTGAGCAACTGAACTTCATAAAGTCCAAGAGGTCTAAAGAAGCCTCCAAGCTAAGTAGAAATAAGATTCTTGTAACATAATTATACTCAAATGGTTAAATTTTGTTACTCGTAGTTATTTGACTATACAAGTGGTCATTTTTACTAGATTGCTATGTTTAAAAGTGGCCCAAAACTTCCAACAAATTAGTTAAATCTTCCACCACGTACAGAATAAAAAGCTCTCCAGCATGTTTGTGCATGTGATGTTCGCCAGACACACACAGATACACACACCAACACGCGCAGAATCAATTTCCCAGCTACCTATGGGATAGGGATAGAAGAAGAGAAAAAACAGAAGATTTCACATTGTACTTTTGATCCTGTTCGATCCCAAAGAGAAGGAAAAGATCTGAAATTGATTCTCGTTGTAATTTTTCTGGCCTCCGTAACTCATGTGTTGCTTATTGTTTGATCGTCAGAGTAAATATGTCTGTGTTAACTGTCACCATTATCATCCTTATTTCTCTCTTGTCTCATCATGTTTGTTATAATCGAGTGGCACATATAATCAGTGAGGTGGCATTTTGAGGAGCTGATTTACTATTGTTTTATTAAACTGTAGCATGCATTGATGTTGATGCAGGTTGCACTATTACATGGAATTACTATGGGTGGTGGAGCTGGAGTCTCAATTCCTGGAACATTCCGAGTCGCAACTGATAAAACTGTAGGAAACAAGCAGACTTTTTAACTTCTTCACTTTCCTTCTTGCAGAAGTCTGTTAAGTAGTGCATACAATTCCTAGGTCAACCATCCAACGTTAGTGTTCTCACTAACTAGTGTTTGGATTAAAACAGAAAAAATAATAATCTGGAATTGTGTAAGGTGCACACCTCATTCACATATGTGTCAATGTGGTGAAAACATAAAATTTTTAAATAGGTACAAAGATTGCATTAAGGAACATTTGAATTTACTATGGAGACAATGACAAGGAATGTTCGTTATTTGTCATATGTTTTAGTGGTTAGTCAAGAATCTGACACTATGCATGTTGGGTAAGAAAATAGTTGGAGAAGATCAGCATGTTAACTGAGTACTCGGTTGGATGTAAATAGGGTATTGAAGGAACACAGAAAGTTTGCATTGACCTTCAAAAAAGTATATTGATGTTGCGTCTGGTTTTATATCAAATAAGTTATTTTCTATTTGCTTATTGTGAATATTTCTTTTGTAGGCTATGTGAATATTCATCTTAAATATCAATGAAGCTGAATCTTTGTTCTAATATCTCTAGGTTTTTGCTACACCTGAAACATTAATTGGTTTCCACCCGGATGCTGGAGCATCTTTTTACCTCTCACATCTGCCTGGTTATTTAGGTATGTATTGACAGTCATCAAATTGTGTTTTGAGCCGTTATTTATGTCTAGCGGACATCACCAATTGGTTTCATATTTCCATATAAGAATTTTGTTGCTGTTTTGTTCATTTTTCAAATTTGTACTTGGTTATCTTCTGACTTCATATGTTACCAGCTTTATCTCAAGTAGCATCCATCAAAAATTTTGCCAAGTGTCCTGTCCATTTTTATTTAATATAAGGGCCAAGTTTGATGCCAACTTAAGTGAAGAATCACTCTTTAGTTATACTAGCATAAGTTTCTTTCTTTTCTTCTCCTTTTCTCTTTCAAGGTTTTAAGCCTGGTATTTTAAGTCTATAGGAATTACACCGAACAAAGCTTTCACATGAAAAAGAATTAAATCTTCCCAGTAAGGCAGTTGGTGCTTTGATCTCTTGGTAACCACAACTATTCTTATTCACCCATCTGCTATAACCATAATAATGTACTTTTGCATTTGTCTAGCTACAAAATCAATTCAATTTGAATGTCGTTCCACTCTTGAATATATGTCTGTAATACTTATTGACCTGTTGTTGTTCTAGGAAGATTAGTTTTTGCCAGTTATACATCTGAATCATGGTGGTATCGAAAAACTAGAAGTTAATAAGAATTGCAGAAGAGTAGCTCACTTTTATATCTTGATGACCTCTGGACTCTGGGGCAAAAGAGTGTCAAAAAATGATTAGGAAGCATAGAGTTGAGATTGTTCACTGCTGAAATCTTTGCTCCCTATCTGATCAGAACTTTGCCTACTGCAAAATTACTATTTTTGTACTAGGTTGATTGACTGGGCAGTCAACTGATTAGAAGGATCTAATGGTATCGCTGTTAGCAGGAGAGTACTTGGCCCTCACTGGAGACAAACTCAATGGAGTGGAAATGCTATCCTGTGGGCTTGCTACACACTATTCACTAGCTGCTGTTAATACCTTTGAACTTAAGTTTGTATTTCTGTGTTTTTTTCTGTCTTCAAAACAAATTTTCACTTTTTCTTCTTTGCAATGGTATAGAAGCTTCCTTTAATTGAGGAACAACTTGGAAGCTTGGCTACTGATGATCCGTCTGTCATCGAAGGTTCTCTGCAAAACTTTGGAGACCTTGTCCACCCAGATCCAACAAGTGTGGTTCACTGGTAATCATTTGCCTATAGAAGGATTTTGGGAGAATGTCTATGTAATCTCAATTTATTCTATTAACAGTCATCTCGTTCTCAAGCCAATCACCATGATACCGTATTCCTCGTTATCAGAATGACATCAAAAGACATACTAACTTGGGCAGTAGCTGAGGAAATTCTCGATCACTACAAAAAAAAAATCCAATCAACTTATTTTATCAAGTGCAGAAGCGTTTGGCTTCATGATTCTTAATATTAAGTACAGCACAATAATCTCACTTGGGATCCTCGGTGACAAAGTTTTCTATGCCAACTCAATGCCACCTATAATATTTTGTCAAGTGTCCTGTTATTATTTGCACTTTAATTTTCTAATAATTCAACTGGTTTGATTTAACACAAGTTTTTTCTATTCTCTAAAACTTTGAACCAAACCAAACCAACCGATCTAATTCCATTCATCATTGATTGCCTTCGAACAAAATTGCACAGGAACTCTTTTTGACGTTGATTGCTTTGAAAAAGCCAAAAAGAGAAAATTCCCTGAAACTAGTGTGCTGAAAATTCCGAAATGGTGACTCGCACCGCTGCTGGAAATTCTTTCAGCTATATTGTTGGCTGATTCCGATGAGCTCCACACTTCAACGACGTCATCCTTTTGATTCCTCCACCAGCTCCGCCAATTAAGAAAGATAACACTGCTCCAAGTAAATGTACCTTCTCTCAAAGGAGGACGTAAATCTGGTGCCCAGTTTTGCAGTTCCCGGCTGATGCCCAATTGAATAGCACCAACCTGACCTGCTCCGAGGAGTGCCCAATAGCAATTAGCTGATAACAAAAGAAAATTGCTAAAGTTGAATTGAATCATCAAATAACTCATCCTAGGCAGGTAGAATGATTCCACACACAGCTTGCATGATTAAGGAACCACGTGGTTTTAAATTTGCTCGAAAAATTAATCCCACGGTAAGGACTAAAACCTCAAACACCACCAACCAACCTCCCAAAAGAGACCCCCAAAAAAAAGCAATAATAATCAAAGAAGAAAGATTGAAGCAGAGCTAAGTTACATCAAAGAAACACTGGGGTTTCATTGGTTATCAAAGAGCCGCAGACATAGCCGCAGAAAGCTTTAATTTGAGGACTTCCTGAATAGGTCTTGTCAATTTGCTTCAACAGTCGAAGGCTACAGTTTTAGCTTATTAGGCAACGGTTGAAGCTTTCAGGGACTTTTTCTCTTTTTGACTTTGTTCAAAGCAATCAACGATGAAAAGGTTCGGACTTTGGAGGCAATTTTGTTTAGGGTTATCTTTTTCTTTTTCCTAAAGCAATCGATCTTGAGTGGTTGCTGTACAAAAGTATTGGTAATGGAATTAGACCGGTTGATTTGGTTTGGTTCAAAGTTTTAGAGGATAGAAAAAACTTGTGTTAAACCAAACCAATTGAATTATTAGAAAATTAAAGTGCAAATAATAACAGGACACTTGGCAAAATATTATAGGTGGCATTGGGTTGGCATAGAAAACTTTGTCACCGAGAATCCCAAGTGAAATAATCTTGCCCAAACAGCTATAGAAAAACAGCTAGGATGGCACCCAAAGAAAGCTCAAAAACCTTGATCCAAATAAAACTGCCCAGCACATAAAATACTACCGTCCACTCAGTGGTCGTATGACCGCTACCATCTTCCCTGATGCTGTCACTCAATCTTTAAAGATCCAAATGAACTAGAGATAGAGCGGCCTAGTGTGTCATCAAAGACATAGCAGACGTCCCCAACATCTGGAATTTCAAAATGGACCTGCTTGCATTTATATCCTCCATCTGAGAAAGCATCAAGCATGAGCTTTTTCACCAATTTCGGTAGGAGCACCCTCATGGTGCTATTAGGTCCAAAGTTTCTGAATCTGACTTTCTTATCCTGAAACAATTGAAAAGCTGTTCGTTCAGAAAGAGTTGAATCCGTCCTGTAAAACCTCACAACCATTCTTACATGCAACTTCTGTTAACATACCGAATTTTCTGTCCATCCAGTATTCAGCCACGATCCGTTCAATGCTTTCTCATCCCCAAAAAGCATCAAATATCTAGTCCCCAGTACTCAACCGAAAGCGTCACTAAACAACACTTAATTGACATAATATCAGGAATTGTATTGTTCCAGAATTTCAACAATATCTAAGATGAATGAGATTATGGAACACAAGGCTATAGATCAAACAATAATATGTTTTCAGATCAATATAACTAACACCCATCATACCCCAAAAGTTTTGATCGACTCGAATAGGTCAAAACTCAACTTGGATCGACTTGTTTGTAACCTTAGCAATGGTTGTGTTATGCTATGACCAGTTCTACCTAGTATATATACATACATATAAATATATACACATGCATAAATAACCAAGGCATGTCAACTTCCATTTCGGTCTAATGTTTTGCTACTCGAGCGTCGTACTAGTTTTTGTCCTAATTAAGTAAAGTCCATAATATATCAAAGCAGACAAGAGTTCTAGCAAATGAACATTTCCACTAAAACAAGTACTTAACTAGATAAAATTGTTGAAAATTGTAGTGATTTGGCCTTGACTGATATGCACAAGAGCAACTTTTGCCTGTTTGGATTGTTATTTTTTGAAACTTTTGTAGAAAAATATACTGTATCTATTTAATATATATAAGAAAAAATGATAATTAAAAAATGTATTTACCGAGAGGTAAAATTTTTTTTTTATAAAATTGCAATCGAAACATGGCATATATTTCGAGGATAGATTTTGTGTCTTACCATTCGAACTCGAGCAATTTGATCTCAATTTATTCCTGAGAGAGCTTATTCTTTTACACAAGTTGAACTCAAGTTTCAAAATTAAAAAAAGTTTATCGTGCACGGGTTTAGGTAGCTTACTTCGAACTCAACCTAGAATACATTTTCAGCGTGTGATGCAACCCACGAACAGAACGTTGGTTGACCCGCTTAGAGCATATTACAAAAATATAAAAAAAAAAAAAAAAAAAAAAAAAAAAAAATTTTGCTCATGCATAAACCAACCCAGGTCTGTAAAAGGGAGTGTTAGTAAAAGAGGAAGCGGAAGACGGGTTGAAATACTGAATATGCAAGGGATTCCGAAGAGAGATAGCTAGCACTCCTTCCTTCTGCAGCTCATTCACCTTCGACCACAAAACATCTGTGTATTCATGGAAGTAATTGAATAAGGTAAATCTCAAATTGTTTCCTTTCTTCTAAAAATGTTTGTGTCTTCAAAAGTGGTCTTGTCTTCTTTCTTTTTGTCAAATTTAGTAATCAAATGTTAAGGGACACCAATTTTTCCTTTTTGTTCCTAAATTTGTCAGCTAGAAAGTAGTTTGGGGCCCCCATTTTTAGTCAAAGGAGTTGTGGGTACTGAATACCTCCTAAGAACTGCAAAAAAGGAATACTAAATCCTGGAATAGGCTGACTTTGAGATTCAAATGTGTGTGTGTGTGTGTGTGTTGTTTCTTTTGAGTTAATAATGGCTATGGTTAAGACAGTTTGATAGGGAAGTTTCATGGATGAAATACACGGCTTAGCATGTCATACTTCTCGTGTGCTATCTGTATAAATTTAGCTGCTCGTTTCATACTAGAAAACTAATTGTCTTGAAAGTTTACCCTTGATTTCTTTTCTGTAGGGTGAGTTTCCATTCACTACTCAAGAAACTCAACAAATTTATGCGACTTGAGTTAGGTTTCTTCGGAACTTATGGTACCTTGGCTAGGTTGGAGTACTAGTTAACCAAGAAAAATATATAAACAGAAATCCAAACTAGTTTTCTTTGCAAGTACCTTGAATTTTAAGTGGCATAATTAACTAAATTTTGCAACTTATCAACCTGGTTAATTAACATCGGCTATGTAACATTCGCAAAACAATTAATTGGACTTGTTGAACAACTTAAAATGGTGATTTGCATTTTAAAGGTATTAATCAGCATCCTTTTCGAACCATGCTTTGTTAATTATTACCTAATTGTTTCCCATGCATGCTTTGTGCACATATAGGTGCAGTTACAAAATCTCCTAGACAAATTAAGTGCCAAAATCCTATATAGGTTGCAATTCTAAGTTCGTGCGTCCTGTATTTTCATCATTGGAAGACGAGGTCTCTGGTTTGTGACCAATACGCATCTCTTGTTTGTTACCAACGATCATTTCTTGAACTGGGGGAGGATTCACAATTGTTGTTTCGGTTGCATGATAATTAGAAAGGCGGCACTTCATCTCCCTGTGCTCTTGGCATATAGCACACCAATGTAAACATAGGTGCACCAATGAAGGCTCACATGGTGAATCCTGTAAGCAAACAATGACATAGATACATGAGAACCATCTAAAACACTATAGATTTGTCCTTTTGGGAATTAAACCTAAAAAAGCATGGCTCCGTAAATGTTTTTTAGAGTGTTTTTAAAATATTTTACTGTAATAATGTACGTGAAAAACTTTTACTGTACCTATTTTTAACAGTGTTTTTGAGAATAATTTTGAAAATATATTTTGGGTATTTTTAAAATTTAAAATTTTAATGAGATATTTTTAAAATTGCATAAAACCTTACCACCACCCACCACCACCCCTTCCCCCCCTCCCTCCTCCCTCCTCCCTCCTCCCCTTCCCTATTTTTGATAGTGTTTTTGGAGGTATTTTTGGGGATATTTGGGATGTATTTTGGGGGCATTTTTAAAATTTAAAATATGTTGGGGTACTTTTTGAAAAATTTACACCACTTACCACTACCACCCATCTCCACCACCTCCTCCCTCCTCTCTCTCCCCCTCCTCCCTTTTCCCTCTCTTTCTCCTTCCTCACTTCCCTCCTCCATTCTCCCCCTCTTCCTCCCTCCTCTCTTTCTCCTTCCTCCCTACCCCTCTTCCCCTACTCCCTAGACCCACTTGAAGATTGCCGGCCTAACCTTCTTGGTCGCGACTAGTGCCACCAAAAGGTCGCAGCTGGAGCTACTGCTGGTTCTTGGGGGAGGAGAGAAGGAGGGAGGAGGGGAGAAAGAGGGAGGGGGAGGAGCAACGGTGGAGGTAATAGTGATGGTCGAGGAGGGAGTGGTAGATGGTGTTGGTGTTGGTGGGTGGTGGTGATTGGAGGAAGAAGAAAAGGTGATAGGATTTATTTTTATTTATTTATTTTTTTAACTTGTATTTGAAATATGAGTGTTTTTTGATGGTGTTTTTGGAGTGTGTTACTGTAGATTTGTAGATGAAAAACAAGTATTTCAAAAACTCTCAAATCCGAACGGAGCTCCGGTATTTAGTTCGCATGGAAAATATTAGCCAAAAGCGATAGCAATGCATGATTCACTGATTCTGCAATGCGGTCTCAAACATTTCTGCACGCAAATAGCTTTCTCTTAAAGTAATAATATGAGATCACCTTTAAATGATACTTTCTCTGTAATGCTTGCCGTGCCATGCCCGTGTAGACACCACATATCCACCAAGTGCAGAGAAGACCTTCTGTTATAAGCCCTACTGTCTGGGGATCAATAGCACCATTAAACGCAGCCATAAGTGCTGCAAGAGTAATGCCGCCTTCGATGCATATCACATGACCCATACATGCGCAAGAATATGAGACTTCATCACTCAAACTCTCAACATTGCGTCCAAATAACACACAGGGGCAAAACAATCCAGTCCAACCTGCAAACAAAGATCATATATATATATTAGATCGATATTACAGAAAGTAACACTACTTATATATATATGTATATATCAGTTGCAAATTAATTTGTTTCTATATGTCTTCTATGCTTAATGAAAATACGTTTTGTTAGAGATCTTACAGCTATCTGGATCATCAGCACAACCAAAAATCCCAGTACTCCAGTCTTCGTTAGCAGGGGGATGGTAGCTTTCAGGCAAAGCTTGACCACATTGAGGACACCTAGCTGCAGTTATCTGATAGATGATGCCGTGAACTACTCACATTAATTATGTTTTCAAGGTGCAGTAAAACAGTCACAAACTTTGCAAAAAAAAAAAACAGAAATACACATGCAGATTGTTAGAGGTTATTGAAGTAACTTCTTCCATGAGATTTGTACATAACAAATATTATGATTAGTTATTGACTACCCAAATCATATAATGTGTCGAGTACGAAGTTAATCTTGTCACCTTGATTTGGTTAACATTTATGCACAGACGCTTTCTCAAGTATCAAGCTAGACATTCATTAAATTTGCTTTTACGAAGTTATTCACTAGCTAGTTTACAAGTTCATAGAAATATACTATAACTAATCATACTTTTAAATCATGGGTTATATATGAGAGAATACAAAAGAAAAATTACTGCTATATATAGTAGGATTAATCTTCTATACACTGACAGTGTATACACTTTCACCAGTAGATGCATGACACATAATCCGAATTTGAATAAAACTTAAATTTTGTATATGTGTCGTATATCCAACCGTGACAGTGTGTATACGCCGTCAGTGTATATAAGATTTACTCTAATTATATAATATATCTTCTAAGTTTCTAACCATTTTACATGATACAACTTTCTCATATTATCTATACGAATACTCCTGCATATGGGAGATATCAGATGTGTGCTATGATAATCATACACAACTATATATACCCTATATCTGATGATATATAGTGCTTTTTTTTTTGGGTACAATATTTGATGATATGAAGACATAGCTCGTGTATTATGTTTGAATATTATTATGACAGCTGAAGATGGCTCAAAGATTGAACCCATATATAAATGACGATTAACATACATATTATCGTGTTCAAAGGATATAATAGCTGATGTTTAATATGGGGACTACCTGAACAACATCGATAGGTTGATTAAGCTCTCCTGGAGTGATGTCCTCCAACGCCTCTTGCTCCTTTGTCAATTGTACATAAGTCCCATCAACCATGTTTAGTAGCTTTCAATGGCCGAAGACAAAGGCTAATTGAATATTTTGGTAAAATTTTGTATAGATGCTATGGAACGTAAGAACGATTGACAGAAGCACATCAGGAAAACTGAATGTAATAAGAAAGAAAATCCAAGCTCTTGAACACAAAAAAATGAATGAAAGTTGTTACATATGGATAGAGAAAAAAAGAAAGGAGAACGTCAAATGAGACATTCTAGGCACTCATGCCCTCTATCTCTCTCTCTTTCTCCATATCCCTCTCCTTCCCCTTCCTCTCTCCACCTCTATCCTTTCTCCGTTACAAAGCTGAGGCCTATGTTGCACATCGACATTGAAAATAGGAGATTAATATGAGAGAAATGGATCATAGTCCACCCAAATTGCTTAAGCTCAATAGGCCAGATCACATTGCAGTTGTCCATTTTCTATTTTGATTGGTCAAGTTCAAGCTTCACGAGGAAAGAATTATTACATTCGCTATTTTTAAGGTTCGGGCATTGGTGGGGTTCAAATTCCATATGAAGCGGAAAAAAAATTCAAGGGTGATACTAAAACATTTCTTTGGTCTAGTAAGATGTATATACCTGCTAGTGCTCAACACAAGCTTCTTGAGGCTCCTTCTTCTCCTGTAATCTAGGATAAAATAGGTTATACAATTGTTATCGTTTTCGGGAAAAAAAATGGGTATTGAGTAACAATATTAGCATAATAAAAAAAATGATTAAGTTAGATGAATTTAAGTAAAAATTATTTGTCAAGAAAGAAGTTTTGATCTAGTGGCTTTCCTTCTAAACCTGTCAACTGTTGACTAAATTAATTAAGAGTTTTTCCTGACTAAATTATTTAAGAGTTTTTTTTAAATTGTTATTGGACAGTTAGTTAATGCACACACTCTATAATTAATGCCTTGCATGAACTCCATATTAACCAATGGAAAAGTTTAGGTTGGACTTAGTTGGAAGAAATTCTTTTAAGAGATATTTTTTAAGCACATTTTTTATTCCAGCATTTTTTTTCTCTCAGACATAGTAATATAAAGAGAAATGCTATAGTAAAATATTTTTTTGTTTAGCTACTATTGTAAATATTTTTGTAAATTAGAAAAAAAAGCTTTTGTCTCAAAACACCATGGGTGCCAAACGGATCCTTGCTTGAGATTTATTGAAAGAAAAATAATTGTCGCTTCTGGAATATAATACACAAGAAAATCCACGTCAAACTTCAGAAAATATCCCCTTGCTTGGATTTTACTTCCATCAATTAATTAATCTCCACGGTCCCCGTCTCCCCTCATAGGAACCGTACTTTTCTCCCGCCTCATTTCACCACCACCGCCGCCGCCACGTACCACCACCTCTGCTACTATCACCACCACTCGGATAAACAGAGTTCTTCCTAACAAAATTCAAAATGCAAAGACAAAAACCTAATTACAGTTCAAATTTCCCAATGAATTCAGCTCGTCAACTCATCGATTCCCTAACTTCCCACCTCTCTTTGTACCACTCAAGTTTCCCGAATTCAAACCCTAATCCTAACCCCAGATCATCAATTATCAAATGGTTCTCATCTTTGTCAGTCCAACAACGCCAAGCTCACCTCACAGCCGTTGATTTCAAGTTCACCCAAACCCTTCTCGAAATGCTCCTCAAGCTCAAGACCAATGGTCATGGATTCTTCTTCATCCTAGCCGATATTCCCCGTGCGGCTCCTGATTACCGCCACGCGTCCGGCAGCATTAGCCTCCCCAGCCTCTTGTTTCGTAAGTCTAACGGGTTGTTGTCCCGAGTCGCTGGGGCAAATCAGTTTGAGCTGGCTATTCGCGAGTCTATTCGGTTGTTCAGCTCGGAAGAAGGTGAAAACGTTAATGATTTTTCGCGGTTAGGGGCTGATGTTTGTATTGATTCGATTACTGTGAGTGAGGAATTTGTTGAAAATGTGGAGATGTTTGTTGAGATCATGGATGGGGTGTCGAATGGGGCATTTTTGAGAGGAGAGGAAAGTGGAGGGTTGGCGGCCGAATGGCCAGAAATGGAGTGGTTGAAGGCAAAGGGGTATTGTAGCATGGAGACACTCGTGGCAAATAGATTGGAGGTTGCATTGAGGTTGGCTTGGTTGAATTGTAATAACAGTGGGAAGAAAAGAGGTGTGAAATTGAAGGAGAAGATCAATGGGGCTGGGGTTGCAGCAAATGTGTTTGGGAGGAAGAAGGGGTGTATAGATTGGTGGACGAAGTTGGATGAGGCAATGAAGAAGAAGGTGTTTCAATTGGTAGTCGGAAAAGCAGCAAAACTTCTGGTATATTTTGTTGTGGAACTTTTCTTATTCTATGATTTTAGTTTTTCTAAATTGCACGTAATGCAGCTTACGATTAATATTTGGTGAATGATGATTTTCTAACATATAAATTTGGGAATCATCTAGTGGTTCTGGTTTTTGTTGCAAACCTGATTATGCATTTAATCTTTAGTCTTGACGGTAGAAAATGGTGTGCTAGTCTTGATAGCTACCTTATCGAAAATAAAATTCTAGGTTGTTCACTGTCAAATAGAATTGACCTACCAAGTTGGCTAAACTATAATATCCAGACAAAGGTCAAATGCGAAGGGGAGTTGGTATTACCTAAATTAGTGTATAGGAGTAGGTAACTTTCTGTGAGTAAGGAAGAAGGGTAGTGTGATTTTATGAGAAAAGATGGGTTAATTCATGTGAAATCAATTTTCTCTTGCCAATGCAAGCCATATGGGGAAGCATATAATATGTATGAAATGAAGTTGGGAAATAGAGCAAAAAAAAAGAAGAAGAAAATATAATAAGGTGGTTAAAAGCAGCACTAATGGCGACATGCTGACAAAGATCATAAGATGTTACAAGTACCCCCCAACCCCAAAAGGGGAAAAAAGAGTTGCTGAAGCATGATTTGTAATTACTCGTCGAGTAGCTGCCTGAGAAAAAATTCACACTTCTTCTAATCATTTATAGAGTTGGGTGAAAAGTCTAATGAGTAAAGAGCTTATAACATATGACTGATAAAGAAATGGTTATGAGAATGGAATGACTCAGCAATCCTTAATTCTGCTGCAAGCAAATGATGACTGTTGTACATTGCATTCTTTTCTGCTTCTTTTTTTTTTCCCCATTTTTACATATGGTGATTTCTTGCATTATGATCTTCTTGAATGATTGCTTATATTAATTTTATTTACCAAACCCCAGAAAATTGAGGTTCTTAATTTGTTGGAAGCTTGATCTGATCCCTGATTGTTGTAACTGTCAGACTGCTGAAACTTTGAAAGGTAAAGATGTCTTGGAGAATGAGAGGATGCTCAATCCCAACACTGAACAACCATTGGCATACAACACCTTTTTGTCACTTGAAGAAAATGATGGGCGTCCCCCAATACCAGATTCAAAAGTTGAGTGCAGGGCTTCTGTATCAGTTTCTAAATATCCCTTCCAACTAAAATGCATGCTTAGTGTTTTGATTCTTCTCGAGGATATTTCTTCTATGTTGTTAGTGTTTCAGCATAGTGGATATAATGAGGACAAGCTGTTTTTTAGTTCACTGGATTCTGTTAGTACAACTTCTGACCTTATATTAAGAAAATTGCGGGATATACTCATGGTGATTTCACTTGATTGTACAAAATTTGAGCTACTTGAAGAGGGAAAAATGAGTTCCTCAACAAAGAAGCAGAAGGAAAAGCTTGGTACTAGTAACCACAAGAAAAAGGGGAAGAATCGGAATTTGAAAAAGCTTCATTCTGCAGCAAGATCTTCAGAACTTGATAATTCACTTCCTAAACCTGCAAAGGTACATTAAATCCTCGCAGACTCCTTCTAGAAAACTGAATCAATATGGATGAAATTTTCACTAGCAGTAGACCTTATTCTGTTGAAGCGTATTTCAGGAAAATGGTACTGGACTTCCACATAAAAGAAGTTATAATTTAAGTCCATCAAGCAAGGTTTCTGAAAAGGTTAAGGAGAGAAATCCTTCGACAGAGTGTCTTGTCTCAAGAATTGACATGGTTGTACTTGTCTTTTTTCATATGATATAAATCATTTTAAGCTAATAATTGAAATGGTTTATAACTGATTGACTGTCACCAGGCCCGCAATAATGGAAGTGCTTCCAGGAAGAGTAAAAAACAGAGAAACAAACTTAGAAGTTCCAGCACTCATAGCTCAGTAGAAATTGAAAGTTGTCAAAGAAGAGAGGTGGAAGCTGTCTTAGTTTCCTCTAATTGTCAGAATGGGAATGCAGAGTCTGATTGTATAGCTGAAGATCCAATTATTGATAATGCACATGAAGGGATAGGAAATGATAAACATGAGCCGAATTCAAGTAATTCTACAGTTCCAAAGCCTCTTAACTCTGGTAATTCTGAAGGCACTAAAAATCCTGGTTTCAGGGACTGCCAGAACTCTGGCATAGTGGTTGTAACTAATGGAGCGGTTGCCAGTCTTGAGTCTGTAAAAGGCAATGTGGACTGCGAGGCATCTCCTTCTATGCCAACACAATATTTGATTGATGATTTAGGCAGTGTGGAAACCAAGAGGGCAAAGAGTAAGCAGCAACATGAGGTGGACAGAAAATCAAGACTTTTGACAAAACTGAGCAAAGATAGCAATGTCAATGGAAAAGCTACTCCATTTAGGGAGCAAGGTACATCTGGACTCTATGATATAGGCATTATAAACTCTTCTGCCTATCTCTCTTATGAATGGCCAACTGTAGCTCCTATACAGATTCCACCTTGTAATTCGCATCTCCCGGCTGCTACTGATAGATTGCACCTGGATGTTGGTTATAATTGGCAAAATCACTTCCATCAATCCTTTGTACCAGCAGTTCATAGAGTGAGAAATTCTCCAGTTGAAACTGGGTGCAGTGGCATTACATCTCAACCATTACCTATGAGTTTAGACTGGCCTCCAATGGTGCGTGGTGTCAATAGAATAGCTCCTTCAGTCGCTTGCAACTATGATTCAGGGTTCATCTCAAGGCGGCAATCTTCTTTTCAGCAGGGCTTCTCAGCTTCAGGTGTCCACTGCAGTGTGATGACTGCTGAGGATGAGAGGGTTTGTTCCAGTGATGTGATGGACTTTTCAGATGCCATAAATTTGCATGAGCTGGCTGATGATCAGGACAATCAGTGGATGTCTGAAGAAGAACTAGAGCTACATGCAGTTTCTGGGATGGATTATAATCAGTATTTTGGGGGTGGTGTGATGTACTGGAATCCTTCTGATTTCCCTGTGAGCAGCTTTTCTCGTCCTCCTTCTCTTAGTTCAGATGACAACTCATGGGCTTGGCGTGAAGCAGACATGAACCAAGCTGTTGATGATATGGTTGGCTTTTCTTCTTCTTATAGTACGAATGGTTTGACTTCTCCATCTGCTGCTTCTTTTTGCTCTCCTTTTGATCCATTAGGTCCAGCACACCAGGCTGTGGGTTACGTTTTATCTGAGAATGAGATAGGTGGCAAAGTTGTCCCCTCCTCATCAACAATCGCAGAGGTAGTTACAGATGACAATATCTCAGGATCTTTTTCCAACTTGTCTGGTGACTGTGAAGCGAAGACTGGAGATTCACTTCAATACCCCATTTTGCGACCGATTATCATCCCAAATATTCCAAGAGAAATACCAAAATCAGATTTTAAACGTAATCTTGATCGTAAAAGCCCCTGTATTCCTCCTATTAGCCGGGAGCAGCCTCGGATTAAGAGGCCACCTTCACCTGTTGTTCTTTGTGTTCCTCGTGCTCCACGTCCGCCTCCTCCCTCTCCTGTTGGTGATTCTAGAAAACATAGGGGCTTTCCTAGTGTTCGGTCTGGTAGCTCTAGCCCAAGGCACTGGGGTGTTAAGGGCTGGTCCCATGATGGAATTAATTTTGAAGAAGCTTGTATACGGATGGATGGTAGTGAAGTAGTTTGGCCTTCTTGGAGGAATAAAAGCCTCCAAGCCCGTAAATTGACGCAACCTGTGCCAGGAGCTTTGCTGCAGGATCGCCTGATTGCTATTTCTCAGCTAGCTCGTGATCAGGAACATGTACCATTGTTAATCATGTTTCTACCTTTCTGTTTTCTTAGATGATTTCTGTCCTTTCATTTTGTTCTCTATATTTGGCTGAATATTCTGATATATGTTTTCAGCCAGACGTTGCATTTCCATTGCAACCACCTGAGTTGCTTAATTGTTCCAATCACAAGGCATCTCTCTCTGTGATCCATGGCCTCCTTCATGATGAAATTGACTCTTTCTGCAAGCAGGTACAGCGCTGAAGAGTTTGCTTATGTATTTAAGATGAATCTGCAGCTACTATTTTGACCTACGTTTCGCTGTTTTTTATTTAACGTGGTGGACTACCTTAACTAATAGGCCATACTCTTGTTATGATACAAAAGGTTGCTTCAGAAAATTTATTGTGGAAGCCTTCTATTAATTGGGCTGTCAAGCGAGTGACACGGTCTCTTCAAGTCTTGTGGCCTCGATCCAGGACAAATATTTTTGGTTCAAATGCTACTGGGTTGTCACTTCCATCAAGTGATGTGGACCTTGTGGTTTGTCTCCCTCCAGTGAGAAATTTGGTGAGATTATCTTATTGTAGCTATTCTGGATTACTCGTCTCTTTCATTTGGCTTTATGTGTTGAGAACAGATAAAATGGTATCTAATTCGTCTTCACTTTTAGGAACCTATAAAAGAAGCCGGGATCTTGGAGGGGCGCAATGGTATCAAAGAAACATGTCTACAGGTTTGTACAAAGTTCTTTATCCATTTTCTGGACCAGAAGAAATTGTAATCTTATCCAATGTGGATTTTTTATTAGTAATTTTTGAGCTCCTGGATGCAAACCAATAAGGATTTTTAGAATCCCCCACCCCCTCAGCCCGGAAATAAGTAAAATAAAATAAAAAGCATAATCTCTCTGGACTTCCATTAATCTATGGCAGCTATATCATCCAGGATAAGAATTTAGATCTGCATCAGTTCTTGTACAATAATGTAAGCAGCAGTTGTACTCACCCTGCTGCATGCTGTTAGGTATCTTGAAAAAAGAACAATATTAGCTTATTTTATGATGGTAACTGAGGGGGCTGTTGTTTTCCTTGCAGCATGCGGCTAGGTATCTTGCTAATCAGGAATGGGTTAAGAATGACTCTCTCAAGATTGTCGAGAATACTGCTGTAACGTCTCTGTTTCAGTTTCTTTCATTTGCTACTTTTTTGGGATCCCTCCTTTCTAATCTTGTAATCCCTTTCTCTTGAGCTTTCATCTTGTTATGCCTTTTCCTTTTTTAGATTCCAATTATCATGCTCGTGGTGGAAGTTCCTCAGGACCTCATTGCATCTTCTGCATCTAATGGCCAAGCATCAAAAGAAGAATCAGTTCAAAAAACTAGTAAAGAAAACAACTCTTTCCAGGCTGATCCCACTGGATTAGCAACCGGTGCTTCAAATAAGTGCTGTCATATGAAGTATGAAATGGAGAAGGATGTAAAATCAGTTCGTCTTGACATTAGTTTCAAGTCCCCATCACATACTGGACTGCAGACTACAGAACTGGTACACTTAGGTTTTACCATTCTTTTTTTCTCTTCTCCATTCTTTTTCTTCCTAGTAGGTTTTGCAGAATGAAGTTGTAAAAGAGGTTAGGAAAAATAAAGAATTTTTCCACATTTCCCCAGTAGGAGGGTTGGTAGGGGGGAGGGCAGAAGACGGGTTTCTAGGTTCAGCTGGTAATCTGGATGATGCTGGGAAGAGGTTTGCTTAAGCTTATTAACCATTTAGTGAGTACTTGCATGGGTATTTGAGGTATGCCCCAAAAGATCCATGCAGAAACTATTAAAACACATCTTAAGATGTTTGCATCTATTTATGATGTATTGCTGAGACCTATTTCTCAAAGAGAAAAATATATATGAAATTCCCCCCACCAAGCCCCCAAAAAAAAGGCATAAATTAAAATGCAATTCAACTGACACGGGTACCTCCTCCAGCCCATTTGATATGGTAGGATTTCACTCAGCATGTGATATTAGCACAAGTTGAAATTAGAATTAAATGAAAAGTTGGGGAAATCTGGTTTTATAATAGGAGTAGCTTTACGGAAGGTCTGTGTGTTTTATGGTTTGTGTCCAAACCACTACTAAGACCTTTTGACTTTCTTTGGTTTGCTGTTTCCCGTGCTGATATATTTGACTGTTTATTTAGGTCAAAGAACTTACAGAACAGTTTCCTGCTGCTAAACCGCTTGCATTGGTGCTAAAGAAATTCTTGGCAGATCGTAGCCTGGACCAATCATATTCGGGTGGTTTAAGCTCATATTGTTTAGTAAGTGCCTACCTATTAGATCTGCATTGCAGATGAACTTTTTGACTTCAAATGGATGAAATTTTTTTGGTTAGTTAACATGAAATTTTGCAGAGGAACTTTTTGACTTCAAATGGATGAAATTTTTAGTTCTCTTTGGTTTTTCTTTTCAATTTGATTCTTGATAAATAGGTAATATTGGGCTTGGCATCAGAACATGAGGTAGATGAGATGGCCATTGCTCATCGCTTTCAAGTTTGTGGGAGCATTTAACCCTGAAATTCCTACCATTCGAACAATTTCCGGTCTTTGGGTGCACCTTTTTTGCAGTGATCAAGCCCATTAAAAATTATTTTCAATCAAAATTCATGGTCCCCTCTTAATTTCCTGTGTTAGTATCCCTTTCCTGAAACATTTATGTGTCTGGATGGATAGAGCTTAAACACAATGTGTGCGCTCTCCCTACCTGCTCAATGTACCTTAAACACAATAAACTTATGATTGAGTGTATAGAACTCTGTTGTCAAATCAGATGATATCTAGTTTTATCCTGATCATCTTATCTCTTATCGTGCGGTAAAATGGAAACCAACTGTTGATGCCTGTAAGGACATTGATTTTCTTTCTTGATCTCATAATTTCTAATGTGAATACAACTATGAGCTCTTTTTTACAATCATTTTTTAGTTTATGGAGAATTGGAGATCCTTGTTTATAAATTCTTCATACCTCTGTAAGTTGTGGTTGCTGATTTTTTTTTGTCCCTGTTGTGCAGGTACTGCTGATCATGCGTTTTCTGCAGCATGAACATCATCTTGGCCGGTCTATTAACCAGGTATGGATGTGGACTATAATGAGTTCACACTTTTGTCTTTCTTCGACCATATATGAAATGTTACATTCAGATGTCTTAAAGAATTATTCTTGCTACTGTTATCCCTGTTAAATTTACCAAAATTATACTTTTAGCTTCACTTCTCTTGTTCTTACCCTACCATGTAACTAGGGCATATTCCATGTTGATACCGTTTTGAGTTAATATGCATGGTAGCATATATCATTTTTAGTGTTTTTGAACTTGGAATAAGTCATTGCACTTTTTTCGCAACTTATGAATATGAAGAGTTAACAGAAATGTAAATGTTTGATAGAGTCAGAGAGAAAATGATGAAACTGTATTGCTTATAAATTTGGAGGATGCATAACATATTTGGGATAATTTAATTGAAATATTAGATCATTGTAACTAAATAACTGTTAGCTCGGATGAAAGTCACTTTTATCTAGTATGGGACTAAAGAAAGACACTGAGCTAACGGTTTTATGAACTTTGAACTGAAATTGTAGAGAAGTTTACTTCTGTTTTTTCCAAGAAATGCAAAAACTAACTGATTAGTTGTTTACCTTCGAAGGTGTCAATAGCATGGTTATATGCACATTCTAGCTTTTGATTTGTACATTTTAAATTCATGATAAGTTGGCATCACATTGATGTTGACTTGTTATAATCAATTTATTAATAGACAGGTTGAAAAGATTGAGACTCTATCAGTCATTTCAAGAATTCAAATTACCTTCATAGTCTAAAGAGATTTGATTTTGAAACCTTGTCATTCTACCTTTATATGTTAGATTTAAGTGGATGTAAAGAAAATACTAGTCGCTTAACTATCCGGCTTTTCTTACTGGGCCACATCGAGATAGTACCACTTTCCCTAACAAGGTTTTCACCTAATGTATAACTTCTTTGGCCCTACTTTGTACGAGGAAATGGTTGATGCTAGCCACATTTTTTACCTACAGATTTTTTCAGCTCTTGCATGATATTTCTGGCAAGTAAAAGTAACATTTTTGGGTGGGATAGATACAATAATGCTTTTGACTGGTACCACTTTTCATAAATTCTCAGTATGCTTTAATCTTGGAATTTCTATTGTGAATGTCATGTGTGCTTGCTGATATGCTAGGGAATGTTTTTCATGAACATTTATTTGGGTTTTATTCAACGTAAGAACATTGACTTTCAGTTTGATATGTTTGTTGTGTATATATGAACTTCCATTCGTTGGGTTTATTAGTCAGACTAACTCTTAACATGCTTACTGGATGATTTGTAGAATTATGGAAGTCTCCTCATGGATTTTCTTTACTTCTTTGGGTAAGTCAAATGCTTCCATGAAATTTTCCTTTTTCTGTTTTTGGCATTCACTCTTTTAGTTCTATTATCAATTGTAGACAAGTTAGTTGTCATACACTGACGTATCAGTATCATTTTCTTTTTTTCCTTGTAAGGGTGAAAGCCTTGGATTAGATACTGATGTAAAGCCTTTATTGATCTAGGAACGTATTTGATCCTCGCCAAATGCGTATCTCTGTACAGGGTAGTGGTGTATACATAAATAGGGAACAGGGGTACAGGTAATTGTATACCTTGTTAATTTCTTTACTGGGGTACTAGGTTTTCAATTTGTCCTATTGACTATGATCAAATTTTTTAATTTGCAGCATTGATCCAATTTATATTGATGATCCTCTATATCCAGCAAATAATGTTGGGAGAAATTGCTTCCGGATCCATCAGTGTATCAAGGTTAGCTAGTTTTTAGTTTCAGCGTCTTCCTTTTTTTTTGGTGTCCCTGAGAATTTGGTAATAAATCACATTTTTATGTTACTCAGTAATTGTCATATTGGGTCTTGAATTTAATGGGTGGTGGAGACTTCCAGTTAGCACTATATGATGTAAAAATAGGCGTGCAATTGATTTAGTTTGAATCAATTTGGGTTCTGTGGGGTGTTTTAGCAAGATGTTTCATCTTCGATTTTGTTGTAGCCAAGGAACTTTCCCTGGAGATTGGTACCAATTATGATAGGATTAGGATTGTGTGTGTGTGTGTGTCTGCTCTTGATTGTTGGACTGCTATATGGTGAGTGCAGGTCACAATTGATTTAAAGACCTAATTAAGGTAGTTACATGGTGCAGGCTTTTGCTGATGCTTATTCTACTCTGGAAAATGAGCTTACTTGCCTTCCCAATAGCGATGAATTGAATACAAAGCTGGCGTGTAAGCTGCTCCCAAAAATTATTCCAAGTATTGGTCTTTCTGGTGGATCCTAATTATCTGAAAAGATTATCCTACTCAATGGTATGTTGAGAAACTTAGAGTTTCTCCAAGTTCAATTGAATCAAGAGGATAATAGTCTATATAGTTTTAGAGAGGTTTAGTTCTTTCTCTTCTGTGTGTTCTACTGTCCTCCTTTTACAGATCATCAAACACTTATGGCGAAGTTTGAATTGCTGGTTTGGGGTCATATGGTGAAGCTGTCATGCCATTGTTACCAATAGCTACACAACTTTCTGGCAAGCTTGGTCTTACTTCAAAATTAAACAATCGCATGGCCAATACAGGTATTTTGGACATTCTTTTTGTGTTTCACAAGCAACGGCCGTAGGCAAGACATATCTATAGTGCAAGTGGTTATAGAGTTATCAATTTGAAGCTTGTCACCTATTGCAGAATGGCTCAAACTAGTTGAAAGAAAATATTTAACAATCAGAAACCTAACTTATCAAGTGTTATAGCTTACAACTTCATTCACCACTTCATTATTGTTGATTTCTGTTCACTATATTAGTAAGACGTGTTGTTCTAATCTGTATATTGAGATAAAGTTACAGTGTGTTTGAAGCATGCAATTGGGTTTACATGGTTGGTAATTGGATTGAAAACAGCTTCTTGGACTAGCCATTTGTGGTTTCTTATGTATGGAATCGTGAAGAAATTTTTATTTTCTATTCTGGCAGAGCTATGCAGCAGAAACTCGGAGGCTGGAGATGTCCAGTAAAAGTGCAGTAAATGTCCAGTAAAAGTGCAGTTACTGGAAGGCCTTTAAATGTGCCTTATTCCTCGTACTGCTGATCATGGTCTGAGCTTGTCCATCTTTTCTCGTTATGGCTGGCTTCCACTCTCAGTACTGGGAGAAGTGATCTGGTAATGTTGCGTGTCCTAGTTGATACTCTTTAATTAAGATAATGGTGATTGACTAGTAGTGAAACACATCAGCAACATAAAATTTAAGGAAGTAGCAGGAAACAACCTATTATTATGTTTTGAGTCGACTTTTAGAAACTAATGACACGCATTGAGGTATACATGATTTGTTTCTAGTATTGAAGGCTCTATATTGGATATGATTAGTCAACACCCTTGTAAGACGGAACTATCTCATCAACAGGTGCAATGACAGTCCAGTGCAGCATTATAGAGAAAGATTCCAGTTTTTAATTGACCTACTGAAAAAATGAATGAAAATTTATTTATACCCAGACAAAGTGAGTGCTACATAGGACACATTGTGTTTAGATCTCATACAAGTGCCAACATGATCAGCCCCGAGGGAACATCTAGATCTAATTTGAACATATAATCTTTTCCCCCTTTTTCAAAGGAAAATCATCTTGAGATAATGGGGTGCACAGGCAGAAGCCAAGGAAAATTGCTCTGATTTGCCTTCTTGTCAGAATAGAATTTATCCTGCACCATGGGGTTCTGCCATGTGCTACATTAGTTTTTTAAACATCACACTGAAATCTTTGGCGCAGGAGACATCTAAATTTTGCATATAGGCTTTGTTGCATATAATGGTACTGGTGTTTCTACCATGACAATTTCTTCATTCTGCAGAATGAGAACTAAAAATCTAAGAACAAAAGGAGTTCCTGACTAATAATTTGGAATTTCAATAGTTTGAGGGAGAGGATATATATATATATATATATATGTATGTATATATGCATAATTTGGATCTAAGTATGCAATAACTTTAACAAATTGAGTAAAAGGCATTATGTGCATATCTGTCAAAGATACTAGATTAGTCTCTCACATCAATTGTGAAGATTTTCTTTTTAGTTCCTATTGTGTTTGTATGTATATATACTCCTGACTTTTTGAGCTATCTGCAGAAATTTTGACTATTTAATGAACAGATTAGCAGCAATATCCTACAATACTGCACTTCCAGATCAACTCTGAATGTCTGTATGAAACCACTATGTTGCCATGTATTGTACTCGCACTTCTTCTGGTTCAAGGTATTTATTGTGCCATAACTATTACCCCAATGAGCTAGACATGGCCACTGATATTTTACTGGTTTGCTGTTCTTCTGCCAATTTTTCCCAAATTTTTTAGTAATTCAGACTTCTATAGTAAAATTTACTACATCATGTAACTTGTAAGAATTTTCGTGCAATGATTTTATTGTTGGTAAGCATAATAACCTTTGCCATCTCTTGATTGTCTTGTTCCATAGTTCCCAATACTCAGAAACTATCTTCTCACACTTGCTAACCCTGAAGTTGTTGTACGTCCTGTTTGTCACCCTTACTAATTTCTATTCGATGTCCAAGTTTACAAGTTTTTCCAATGAAGAAGCCACCATTTATTATTCTGTATTCAAGAAGCATATTCCATTCCTTTTAAGAAGAAAAAGTAGGATATTTTATCTGAATTTGTGTTTCAGTCAATCTCGTCTGTTTTTCTGCAGTCAAAACTGTGTCTCAAGTTTTTGCTGTCTATCAGATGCCATTACTAGTGGAAATCCAGATTGTGGCGTCCATCTTGGAGAAGGGCAGATTTCAAGTCTGGCAGATGAAGGATGTCAGTGCTGCATCTATGTTGGATGAAAGGATATCTGCAGTAGTGCTTGTTCAGTTGATTTTCTGCTCCGATACAGTAACATGCATTTTATACCCTTTCCGTCCTTGGACCCCAGAAATAACAATCGATTTGTACATTTTAGGCAGGGATAAGAAATTTGATCAACCAAATGTTTTATACAAGGAAAAGAAGTTGGACGCATTGATAATTGGAATCTTGATGTCTGAAATACGTTGTAATAAATAATTGATTGCTGACTCACTGCTACAACGCAGTTTCAACCTGTTGCTCTTCCAGAAAATTGCTTTTAAGAACGCTTCCATAGCTTTCCTGTATTGGCATTAACAAGGAAAATGAAATCACAAAGCAACTTGACAAAATGAGGAACCAACTTAAAGTTCCACATGTTTTGACTGCTATCATAGTAGGGGGAAATGTACTCCTATTAGATTTGTCTGTATGTTTTGCAATTATTGGTATGCCTCCGCCACAGCCCTATCTATCATTAAACGATGCAAAAGATTGCAAACATTACAAATACAGAGGTTTGCGGAGAAGAAACCTACCCCGATCTGAGATAAAAAAGAATAAAAGAATTATGAACGCATGAAAACATAATGCAAATTTCTGAGTAGCAAAGATCCGCTTAAAACGACTCAACATTCCTGGCAGCACAACCTCTAAGTTTGTTTTGGAGGTCCAACTGCTTGGGCAAGACAAGTTCAACTCCTCCTCCTGACTCTGAAAAGTACTTTTCGAGCACCATCTGTCATTGAGGAAAATGGAGAAAATATTCACACTTGTATGCCAGATATCAAATCCACCAGAAAAACATTCATTCAAACGTGCAAAACAAAATGGTAATGTTGAATACAAAGCGCACCGCAGCTGCATAGGCATCAATCCTCCCCCGGCGACCAGACTTGCTGTGTCCCCTGCAAAATTTTGGTACATTTAGTCGGTCTACAGGTCCTATCTTCCAAATAAATGTCCCGTTTCAAGTTCATTAAATTCTAACTCATGCTTTCAAAGATAGTGGCAATATGTAGTATGGCATACGATAATCCACCCATGGACATCTGATTATCTTCTATTGATCTCACTAGCGATTTACACGTTTGAGAATCTTTTTGCTTCTTTTGGAATAAAGAGCATTTTGATAAATTCCCTTTCACTTATCTAACCTATCTCCCCGTCTTCGATGTGCCAGTGAATGTGTGTGCTCCCATAGTGGAAGCTCTGGAGGAAGATTTTTGTGGAATGGACAACCTTACCCTCGTGCTTTAATATATGAAGAGAAAAGGCTCCCCATTTGCTCTTCAAAAAGATCTTAAGCAGCTGAACTGGACTAACCAAACTCTTATCCAAATCTGTACTAAGTTTTAGTAATCTGCCGAAGTACTTGAAGAAGCTGTGGAATGTGTCTTTGAGGGAAAGTTTAATCAGCATTCTACTATTTATTTCAGGTTTATGGATGCATGAGTAACCTTGACATTTTAGAAGCATAGCAGCTCAGCGCAGAATACGTTCCTTTTTTTTTCTTTACCACTCAATGGCAAAAGAAATTTTGATAATTCTGCAAAAGAGCTGTTCAGGAATCTAATCAAATAAACAAGAGGAGAGGAAACGAATTACATGTCTATCATACGATCAAGTGCCTCAGTTGAGGTCCCATATTCATCCTGCAAGTACACTCTCAAGCCCCTGCATTGAAATAGAGATCAATGTGATAGCAGAAAAACATTTAGAAGGTTAACAAGTCAAGCAAGTTCCCTTGCAACATAACTGATGAATAAGTTCAGAAATAGAAGGTTAATACAGATGAAGGTATTAGTCATACCTTGACATGAACAGATAAAAAGAAGTTCATTACAAAATCTATGAAATAGAATTTCGACTTATTCGTCCTGCAAAAGTCTTACCATAATGGCAACAAATTTGTTACATAATTTGTTGAAGACTAATATCATACAACCGCATCCTGAATTCCAATTTACCATTTTATCAAGCAGGGTTGCAAAAACAAAACCATCATGAATGTCAAATTAGAAGTCTGAGAGCATGACATCCCAGACAACAAAACCTGTTTATTATCACTTTACCTCTCAGCAGCCCGGACGGCAAGTCTACCAGCAACACTACGGACTTTATTCGACTGTGGTGTTTCTCTCCCATCAATAGATATTGGAAGCCCTATTATGAACTCGTCAACCTCCTAAATTCCATATAAACCCTCAGGATTTAGATAAGATATTTTACTTAAAAACTCCAAAGCAAGAATGGAAATTGTGCTCAATAGCGGAAAAAGTCAAGGCTGAAAGCTATAAAAAGCTAACTGAGTTTGAAATCAAATGGAGCTTGAGTTGAGAAGGGCGTATGGCAACAAATCAAAACACTGCTAAACAATGATTTAGCGTACATGAAGTTTTCAAACTCGGCAAATAAGCAAAAAGCCTTGAACTATACATCAAGCTCCCTGAGCTGAGCTCGAGTTCAGTAACCAAAAACATGATAATCAAGTAAAGCTCGAATACATTTTAAAGCTCGTTAAAAAATCAAATTAAACTTAAGTACTATATCCTCCGGCTTGAGCAATTCTTGTTTAAACACTCATAGCTCCAAAAAGATGGAAACCTTCATTGCGATTCCCTTTCAATAGCCACAAAACAACATGCCCGCCCAAAAACTCAACTTTGTACCTGGTTTTGAGCAATATCAAGTAGACGAAGCTCCAGCTTTTGGCCTCTTAATTCAAGAACCTACAACCTCTTATACATAAGCCCACAAAATGCAACCAAAACAATAACAGATGAAAGCCCAAAAAATTAAGTAAAAATGTTTTAAAGGCAAATTCATCATACATACAGTTAAGGGACGAATTACAAAGCCTTTGCTGATGGCAAGGCCCGTCCGCGAAAGACCCAGGTCTACCCCTAGGCTGAACCCACATCTGGATGAGGAATCTTGCTTCTTGCGAAGGGCATTAGGCCGAAACTCTTGTTCCAAAGATAAAGATACTGTTTTCACTGCTGCAGAAGACGAAGTTGAAGGAAAGCGCAGAGACTCGATAACGCGTCTGGGGTTCTCATTTTGGGCAAAAGGGTATCCAATTGGGGGTGGAAAAGGTAATCTGGTGATGGCGTTAGTCACTGCAGCCGCTGCATTCATGGACTATTACTGAAGAGGGGAGTCTCCGCCGAGCTAAAATGAGTAGTGGAGAAGAAGACGAATTTGCTTGAACTTTATGTGTTGAAATTGCATTCTTGCCCTCAAATTTTGAAAGTCGTTTTATTCTAGTCCCTCACAATCATCTGTTTCGTACTATTGGGAACATTAAAAAGAAAAAGTAGGATTAACGATTTTAACTATGTTTATATTTGGTTTGAATGCTTCACAAGTTTTAGATAATGTTTTCGATTCTTAGAAAAAGTCGAGTAGTTTGATCATTTTGAGTATAGATTTGTGTTTATATTTGGTTTGAATACTTATCAAGATCTCATTAGTGTGATACTAAATTACCACATAGTTTTATACCTGTAATGTGCCAATGAAGCCATAATTTACTCGTTACATTAATTTGAGCAAGTCGTAAAAAAGTGAACAAATTGGTGATTCCTAAAATTGAATGGCTAGGATGAAATAAAATTTCAAATGCTCTTTTGTGGGAAAAAAGCTGGTAACACCTACCCTAAAAAATGCTGGTAACGAAGATAAAAAAGAGAAGAAGAAGAACGAAGAAAACTGATGGGACTCAATCCTCTCCGGCAGCAAAAATTTTCGTGTTCTTGTTGAACAACGTGTTCCTTGGATCCGAGTTTGAGAATTCGCATTGAATATCACCTGTTGAGCAGTAATCTTTTGCGCGAGTTAACCCTTTTCCCTAGAAGCTACAATTAAGAAACACTTTAACCAGATAAAAGTGCAAATTATAAAACTATAATTCCATTATGTTTTCTGTTAGTAGTTAATATGATTTCCATAAGAAAATAGAAGATGTCGTGAAGCAGATTACAGCTTTCTTTTTCCCTCCATATCTTATGTAGTTGAATCTCACTGACAAACCCAAGTTATGGTTTCTGATACAACTACTTGGAAGATCTTTTTTTCATAATGCAGTAAGGATCATTATGGATGAAACATCTAGAGAGGCACTCGCTGCTCTTGGGTGTTCCAAATCCTATGCCAGTTTTACAAATTCAACGCAGAGCACGACTCGTTTCTTTCTTTTGGTTTTTCGTTTGGAAGCCAGAATTTAATTGTGGCAAAAGACGAAGAGACGAGAGCACGATTTAGATAAGTCTGCATCTGGGGTGTTGATCATCACATAGATTTTTAAGCAGGAAGGAAACTGTAAGGTCCCCATGAAAGTGGTTCAACACGCTAGCTATCTTCTCATTCACCCAACTCTCATGTGCCCTTTAGCCAGACCTGCAAATGCGGGACTCCATCAATATTAGACATGAAGTGCATGTATCAGATGAACCATGTAATTAACCAGCCCATTGCTTGATTCAGGCCTTGAAAAACTATGCATCGAGAGAATTTGCAGTTCAATCAGGATAACTTGCATTGTGAAAGAAAGACCTAGGTCAAATGCGTCAAGAATACCGAAACCATCACGGCATGCACCACCTTAATACACAGCAATATGTCAAGAATAATGAAAATTCTTTGCACACCAGGGTACCAGTGGGGTATTAATTGTTTTCAACTCTCAAGATTAGTACAAGGTCGATCTCTTTCAAGTTTAATGTTATGTACTTATCAGGCAAAGGCCTAACCACAATGATAACTCTGCTGTTGCCACCGCGAATAAGATCGTCAGAGCAGCAACAATTTTCTTCCCTCCCTCCATCTTATGTAATTTTCTAACCAACAATCTCAATCTATGGATTCTGATAGCACAACTTGGAAGTTCATTTGTACATGGAGAATTACTTAATGCAGTTAGGATCGATATCGACGAAACCATAGGTTGTTTTCATTGCTTTTCCATGTCAGATGCCAGTTTTACCAGTTCACTACAGAATTTTCTCGTTTCTTTCTTTTAGCTTTTCGTTTGGAAAAGACATACCACAATGCTCCCCAACACGGAACTCCCAATTCAATTTGTGGCAAATGATAAAGCGACAAGAATGCAAGATCTGGGCTAAAGATCATATAGATAAATATTTGATTGCAGCCTTCACGCAAAGGAAATAAGGTCCTCGACTGTGAAAGTGGTTGATCAACACGCTAGCTATCTTCGCATTCGTTCCCCCTAATTAGTTCTCATGTACCCTTGATTAGCCAGACTTGCAA